CAAGGCTATTTCAAGAATACTTTTTCTTCAGTTATCTTCTACTTTTGCCACTTATGCAACATTCACTATAACAATGAGCACCAGTAAATAACTGAAGCGTTTACATAGTAACAAAGGAGAAATTAAATACGAAATTTACCAATGGATATTTTTACATTTGTTATCCAATAGCCTTTTTATTTTCCTTATTCTGTATGAATTGTTCCAGTTTTTGGAATCAAAAAATAAGCAGAACACAACAAAAAGAGGCAAAAAACTATCTAAAAGAAGGCAACTGATTAGAATACGCATAACAGTGGTGAGAAACCTGTGAGAATGAGAGTTTAAAAGCATTCTAGGAATCAGCCACATAAATATAGAAATTCAATTAAAATGTCACTTAGAGAAGGCACTGGAAAGAGCTATAAACCTTATGAAGCAGATTTTTTTTCCAGCTATTAAAGTGATTAAAATGAAATTTTTTTTTTTAAAAACTAATTACTTGCAATAAAATTTTTTGCAGACCATAGAAGACCAAAATAGAAGAAGTCCATTATATTAAAATTATAAAAAGCTACCCATACACCACAGCATCAATATGATAATTAATGGCTTGAATTAAATATGTAAGACAGCAATGGACTATCACCATCGCTGGGTTCAGCTTTAATTGAGCCAACTAACCTGTTGCATTTTACAGAAGCAGCGTTGCTGTTTACATCTGAATTTCCTTATTTTGTGAGTTGAAGAATTTTAATTATACTTTAAGTTGCTAATTCCCTTTCTTCTCCAGAAGATTTAAGTCAACTGTATGGGAAGCCTCCATAAAAGACTGACCTTGGAAGACACTGAAATCTACCATAAACTCCGTACAGTGACTTTGTATAACTTATGCATCGGCTTCATGATGTCCAAATATGATTATTCCATTACAGTACTTAAGCAACAGTGTTAAAGGCCCTGTACTCAGAAATATTTATAAGATGGGGAAAAAAAATACAAAAAAGACACCACTTCAGTAGGCTTACAGAAGCTTTTTTTGTTCTCTTTGTGTAAGGCTGACAGACCCTGGTCATCAGCACGCAGGAAAGAACCGGGGACCTCTGGAGCTTAAAGCATAAGCCTCTACCACATGAGCTAAAAGCCAACTGCCCATTAGCTAAGGCTGTACAGCAGACTCATGTTCTCTCTCTCTAGTGGTCTCAGTGCCAGGAGGTGTGTGGGTTACACTTGCATCAGTTAACTAAAAACAGTATCCTGAGTGCTACACTGACATCAATAACACACTTCTTTTCCTTCAACATATATGCAGCATAAATTAAAAGAATAATCATTTTTACAGCACCAGTCCACCAAAGCATTTGGTGCTTTATAAATTCAGACCCTGATCTTGCAAAAACTTATAAATGGACAAATTGTATACACATGCACAATCTCATTGCATTCAATATTCATGTGCATAAAGTAACATTTACAGGACTGGTGTCAAATATCTAAAAACCCACATCAAAAAGTCAAATACATATATCAAAGGTGGTGGTAAAGAAACAGGGAAAGGATAATAAGTAGAGGCACAAGAATGGGTGCAAGAAATACCATGATTAAATTAAGAGATGTTTTAAGGTACAGAGAGATGGATGTGGAGATAGACTAGGTCATCCCATCACAAAAGCAAGGTTAGTTGCCAATGCAAGACACAATGGGGGAGAGCCTTACAACATATCAGTGGGCAGATACTAGTCAGTACAAGGCAGCACAAACTTCAAAATAGCAGTCTATCCTGTGCAGGCCACCCACACAGAGAATCTATGATGGACATAATAGGATGATGATTCCTCAAACATGTCACTGTTTTCTGAGCAACCTGCAAGCAGTAGAGTTGACACATTGGGAAGGGATTACAGCAATAGAACCTCATGGCTCTGAAGGCATATTCTACTGTGATCACATGGTTAGAGGATAAACAACAGTGCAGCCTGCACAGATTTTTATACTACCTTTAACACCCAACAGACTGTGATCAAAAGCGACTTCTGTGTTCCTCATCTGATCTTTTACCTCTGTGCATTGCCATGAGCAGGAGCACAGAGGAGAAAGCCTTGGCATTCCATAGGAACTGCAATAGTAGACCCTCTGTCGTTTCAGAGGAATGCTTTAAACCCCAATAATAATTCTGCTCATGGCACAGAAGCTTCTTCCTAGCTCCAGGCATTCGGTGTTTGGGAATATGTTCTGAAGTATGTAGGTTTATATCCTTTACACATTTAACACACCTTTGGATCTTCTTACCACTCGTATAAATGTATAAAAATATCAGCAGCCTCTATACAGAAACAAAAACTTATTTTTTCCCCCAAGAATGGGAAAAGGGTACAGCATGCAAGAGGAAATATTGTTCAAGCTTTCTTCCAAAGGATGGGTCAAACGTACATTACAAGTATTAGAGGGGTTACATATACCACACAGAAAAGCCACTAAATATGGCATATAGCTAAAGCCAACCAGTGAAACATATACAACAACAAATAAATAAATCCAGGAACGGACATGAGAATGAACTATGCGGAACCAATGCTGAAGGCACGTGGAATTTCAGTCTCCTCCCTCCTCTTTCTTGCCAGTCATTTTCTCTGAAAAAAAAATGAAAAAAAGGCAAGATCGGGGGTGGGGGCAGGTGGGGAGGAATACCCACCTACCCAACGCTCATTACACAAATTTGTTTTTCCTTGGGAAGTATACACCATTCTTCTTATGTGCCACAATTGGCTCAACCAGTGAGCACACAGAATTTGGTAGAAGCAAGAGAATAATGGGCAATAGGAGATTCCCAAACCCATTCCACATCCACCCTGACTATACAGGCCTTGTCAGCACTGGCTCTCCACTTGTAAGATAACTCCATTCTCTTCGTGTGTCAGTAAATTTACGCCTGCATTTGTAATTTTCACTCCATGCATCTGAAGAAGTGGGGTTTTTTACCCATGAAAACTTATGCCCAAATAAATCTGTTAGTCTTCAAGGTGTCACCAGACTCCTTGTTGTTTCTGTCAATATAGACTAACACGGCTACCCCTCCAATTCTTGAATGTGGGTTTCTTTCATCCCCCAATCACAGAAGTACCTGCACAGGAAACAAATAGGGTAAAGCACCAAGCCTCAGAGCTGGGGTCTCAAAGGCTTTAAGACCAGAAGGGACCATTGTGATCCATTGATTCAGGCCTGCAGGATTAATAGTAGAAGCATAGATGTTTGGGCTCAGGCTCTTAGATATGTATACAATGCAATTTTTAACCTCACAGCTCAAACCTCACAAGCCCAAGTCAGATGACCCAGACCAGACATGGATCTTTTATTGCAGTATAGATGAGCTTTTCTTAATTTTCCTTAGCTTTTCTTAATTTCTTTTACTTCATTCCTCTTTTCTCCAAGTCTCTTTCCCTCTCCTGCTCCATTTGGGATTTCCTGCAATTCCCTCAGCCACCTCATCCATTCTTTGCCCCAAGCGTTTGTCCTGAGCATCTCATGCCACCCTCAAAAGGAGACCAGAATACACATTCTCCATCACTAAGCTGCAGCTGCATTCTCCCCAGCCAGGACAGTTAGAGATGGCTCCCTCCTTGTTCATGAGCATTGTTCCTTTAGTCAGGCAGAAGACACAGACAGGAAGTAATAAGAGGTACTTGCTCCCCTCCCCCCAAAGGTGGTTATGCTCTATCTACAGGGCTTCTATCCTTTCCTGTCCCACAGGGAAAATGCTGTTCCAGCCTAACATGTGATGCCACTACACTAGTGGCACACCTGCCCTCCATTCCTTTTGTCTTTTTCTTTCTCTGTGTCTATCATTCCTCATTATGTTCTCTCTTAACCATGGTTTTCCCAGCTAGCTCAGGTAGTACAGAGAACTTTTGCTCGCCACTCACCTGGGAATAGTTTAACTGACTTTACATACATTTGTAAGAAGAGAGAGCGCCCCAGGCTGACTTTTAATTACTTAACTAAACCAATGTTTCTCTCTTGGTAAATTCCTGATCTGGAACAACAAGGAAAAAAACAAGCTGGCATGCACATATGGGCCCAAACATTTTGGGTTTCCTTGGCATAAGAGTTCAACCGTGGTATGGACCAACCATGTGAGTTAAAGCATTCTGAGCATTGCCATGAAAGCGATCCTGCCAGGCACCCCATGCTGCAGTCAGAGGGGCACACCCATACGTTTTCTTTTGCTCACAGAGCTAGAACCATGTCTCATTAGCTCCCCCACTTCCAAGCTATTTCACAGAAATACTGGTAGCCAAAATCTAGGAATAAAAGATATGGACGGCTTGCGTAGACAGATTTTTTTCTAGCGCTATCCTTTGCGGGCAATAATTGTGAAAAGCTCCTTCGACTCAGCCTCAACATCTTAGGGCACAGGCTTAGAATAGAAATATTGATAGTTCATTGATGATAGGGATGTCACTGGAGTATAACCATCATTTAGCTTGATTTTTCTTTATTCACCGTCCTCCACCAGCCAAATTTGGCTTTTGTAGGTCGCGTGTTAAATAAAAAAAATGAAATCATTAAAAAAAAAAACTATCAGCAATCATTTAGCATTGCTGGAGAGAGATGCATCTGAGTGGACATAATTAAACTGTTGATTCCTGCTATGGGGTTTAAGGTAGGAAATGCAAACCAATTATTGATGCTGTAAAGGGCTCTCTGAAAGAAAAAATAAAAAGACTGCAGCATCCTAAGGCATTAATTCAAGACAGCAATTTCAAGTGCTTCCTCCCATACCACTGAATCTATAGTAACACAATTGCTATACAAAATTAAGATAATGGGAAAGAGATTGTTACCACATCAATAGTAATTGCTATCAAATAACAAGAATACGTATTCGGCATTATAGCAAGTACCAGACAGAAACTGCTGTAGTTAAGGTTGCATCATTTCCATTATAACCCTATTTTCAGTCCCCAGTTTTTACAAAAAATTGCTGACAGATGTATGCTATCTACGTCTGCAGCTTAATTTACCTTTGTAGTTAAACTGTCTCCTCCCCAGATTTGCACCCATGGATTGATTTGCTGCTGGTTGAAAAGAAAAAAAATATAGTACATGTTTACTGACAAAACTATTAAAACATATTCTGAGAATTTTTCATATATGAAGTCTAAGATGGTCCTCTGTACACATGTAAAAATATCTTGTTTAAAAAGATTATTCGTTACAAAACTTCTTGTGTAGCTAAGTATTTTAATAAAACTTCTTGCATTTAAATCTCATTGGATAGGAGACAATATGTGCTCCAACAAGTATAGAAGGCTATGCACAGTCTTGATAGATTTCCACACACTTGCTGAATTGTCCTTCCATCTTAACATGTAATTTTGCTTGACAGAGATTACTGCAAATTTATAGTAGGAACACTTCACTTTTTTGGAAAAATCTCACTTATGTCATTCAGCATTGGTCTAACTGCTCCCACTGAAAGCAATGGGAGTTCTCTTATTTTAAGTTTTAATATTTAAACTGTAATAATTTTAAACATCAGGAACTGCATCTAAACTGCCTGCTCTCAGCAGGAAAAGCTGCAAGCTCTTAAAGCCACAGAAAACCAGCCTTCTTTACCTTGTTTAGATGCTGCAATGCTCTTTGATAACAAGGACAGCTTTTATTAGTGAACGATCAATAGTCTCATTCAAGTGAAAGACTGTCAAGTTAAATATTTCCCAAATGTTGATTGTGTCAGAAATTAAGGGACTACTGTATCCCCTAGCTGCTACTGTGTGGGTGAAGTATGGTAGTGCAATCAAGATGAGGTTGATTAGAAGGGTCAGAGTTATAAAAAGTTAAAAACCATATCCCACTGAGACCATGTACTCTTTATATTCAAAGAACTTCCATTACCTTTTACTTGTGTCAACAGCTTTCAGCAGTACAATGGCTGAAAGACTTTTTTGGCTTCTTTAAGCCCACATGGTTATGCCGGAAGTATGAAAAAAGTTAGTGGGTTCTGAACACTAAAACATCCTAAAACTCATTAAATATACTTGTGTCATGCTTCAGGAAGTATTACACTGAAGATTCAGACTCAGGCTTTTCTAGAAAGGAGACCACCACGCTTTTGTGCAAGTTTAAAGAGTGTACCCATGAATGAACCACAATGGTTTTTGAAGTGCCCACAAAGTATGTACAAAATTCAGCTGACTCTAGAGAAAGGCTACCCACCCAGAACTAGATTAGTCAATACAGAGTAATTGCTAACACTCGCATTAAGGCCTACGTCTGCTGCTATTATAGTCAAAGGCAAGACTTCTACTGATGTCAACCTAAGTAATGACACTGAGCACTTCAACAAGTGCTCAGCACCCAGCAATCTATCCCAAGAGTAAGTAGAGTAAATTCTAGTTGCTGAATTAACCAGATGGATTTTCAATTCCACAATGTTGCTTTCTTTCCCTCTATGGGGGGGACGGGATGATGCGACGACACAAAAACAAGTAAATCTCTTTCCATACTAAATCTCAATAAAAATGCTGAAGACAAAACAATCAAGCAGATGGTGACATTATTAATATTTAACAGTTTTCAGCCGAATAAGATCCTTTTTTCAGCATGGGAGGAAATAAGTTGCAACACCTAGACAATGCCACTGCGAGTCAAGGGTTCAGTTTCAACCTTAACTCTTAAGGGTGCTACATAAGCCTAATGTACTTAATATGGGGTCAAAGCTTAAGACTGCTTTAACAAATTCACATAACATCTTTACAGTACACATGCTATTGTTTAATTAAACATATATTAGGGCGTCACCCAGAACACAGCATATTAACCTGAATTAACAGATGCTTATTGAAACAGGCATAATATTGTTGATAACTGCCATAGTTCTCTTGGAAAAAAACAAAACAAAACAAAAACAAAAAAACAAATCACAAAAAGTCATAACCATTTGGGAGGCAGGAATTACCAGTAAAATATATAAACCTGGAAAATTAAGCACAAATTCCCTCCCAAGATGTTTATATTTTAAGTCAGTGACTTAAAAAGAACGAATAAATATTCAAAAAGTAAAAATAAAGTTTGCTTCTTAGGAAATCTGTTTTAGATTTATACAACACCATTGTAGCCCACAAAAGCAGACATTGTGTATGTTCTCTTCTGCTTCGCTGTTTCAATCCTCCCACTCCACACACAGCCGATTTTTAGGCTATGCATTGATGGGACTTCCAGATTATTCTCCTGATACAGTGGTTCATTTATTCCATTTTACTGTTTATAGGGTTGCTGCCATACAAGATCATTCCCAATAAAAGCAACAGTAAACAGTAAGTTTTTAGGAAAACTCTTTCGGAACCTTAAATGCTCTTTCACCTTGATGAGAGTCTTCCTTCCCTCCAGTCACCTCTCGTCCACTTTGGCTGCTCTGCTGCTGCTACAGGGCTGACTCACGAGCTGAAAATTCTGTTCTGCACATCCTTAAATGTGTCTATTCCAAAGCAGAACCTTCATATGCAGAAATATTTACAGGTTTTGGATGCAGCTCCAGCCTCAAGATGCCAGACACTTGGGAAGAATGCACCACAAAGAACTAGTCCACACTAGAAGAGCTACAGTAGCATAGCTGCTCTACTAGAGCATGTCCATTGAAGATGCTCTATGCCGACAAGAGAGAACTCTCCTGTTGGCATAATAAATCAGTTACAACCTCTCGTGGAGGTGGTAACTATGTTGGTAGGAGAATCCCCGCACTGATATAACGCTGTCCCACTGGTGCTTAGGTCGGTATAACTTACCTCACTCAGGCAGATGGCTTATTCACATCCCTGAGTGACATAAGTTGTACCGACGTGAGTGGTAGTGTAGACTAGCCGAAAAGTTATTAGCATTGCATCACATGGAAGAGTCACTGTGACACAGTCAAAAATATAGTAAAGGGGTACATATGAGCATAGGTGCACTCAAGCCAACATAACATCCATCTTACACTATCATAATAATCCTTTGACCACTCCAAACTGGAAAGAGCGTCCCCAACTCAACATGCTGAAGAGTCTCAAAGCTTTGATCTCCTCTTTGTCAGTGGTGTCTATATTAATATGGCCAGTCCTCATTTGTTGATTGAAAATGCCATGTAAGCTTTGTTAAATTCAGAAGTATATTTGATATATGAGAAATTTAAGAATGCTGGCAAAATGAAAACTATTCATTATAATTTATGTATTTTGGATGTTTGGCCTAAAGTGAACTATCAAATGGATTGCAGCAGTCAATTCGTCTGCTAGAATTCCAAGTCATGCACTTATGAAAGCATAATTCGAGAAGTCAGCAGTCAGCCAGAAGCCAAATATAATCATTTTGTAAACTCAGCAATACACTTCTTGGAGTTTAGCTAGGATAACCATGTGCATACTTCCTGAGTGACAGAAACAGTCTGTTTTGACCTGTGTATTTGAGAGGTGTACAGGGGAGGCCACTAAGTGGAATGTTGACCACCTGTAGTGGTTCTGAGCATTTTATTCCAGAATGACGCAGCAGCCAGTTACATATATGGATGTTGAATACCCACAACATGGGACAAGTATTCCATGTTCCCCTTTCAATGTAAGTCTTGTTTAAACTGGCTAAATATAATGGTTAACTCTTCCTTTTGATTTAAATATTTCTGCATGACTTTAATAGATCATCAGTTGTAAGTTTTACTAGCCGGTATTGGTAACAACTGCAATATCATGCCTTTTACCTCATTTTCACCCCATTTTTAACTGTTTTAAATAAAAAAATGTTATGATTTCCAGTTATATCAGTTTTGTTGGGTTTTTTTGTAAAAAGCATACTACTGCAAATACTATTCTAGGTAAATCCTGTTGTGCAGTAAACATCCTTTAAAAAAACAAAACAAAAAACAAACAAAAAAAAAAACTTTGACCTCTAGCATTGCACCCCCCCACAGATGTGAATTTCTGCTTCACACATTTAAGTTAAGTAGGCAGAGAATGAAGCATCCAAAGGGATTTAGACACCCACTGAAATTAATGGTAATTGAGCATTCAAATTCCCCTGGCAGTTTTGAAATAGCACCCCCCCCCCTTTTTTTTTTGCGCAAAAGGTTTCTAAAGATATGAAGTTGCTCAGGTATAATAAATAGTGTGTCTTGGAAAGAATAATTATGTGGTGGGTCTCTCTCCAGCCCTCCCCTGCTGAAGCTTTCACTTTGTATAATTATTCACTGGGGCAGAGAAAGACGAACTCCACAGCACAGTAATGGGAGCACTCATCTGGGAGGGGAAAGGCCTGGGTTCAAATCCCCGCTCCACATCAGGTAGAGTAGGTATTTGGACCTGTCTCTCCCACTTTCTGGGTGGATGCTCTAAGCACTGGGTAACTGAGTATAAGGGGGCACCACCAACTCCTGTGGCTATATTTTGTTTAAGGGCCAATCCAACAGACTCTTACTACAGCAGTGAGAGAGCACATCTCAGATTCTGCAGTGAGATAGGAGGGAATGTCTATTTTGTGCATCTTGCTGAGGCTGATGCATGTTAGCCACCAAGCTGTTCAATGCTGTCGAGACGGAGACAGCTACGCACATTCCCATTGACAAATTTAAGCACCCAGAGACTGGCAACAGCTATGTGGGGGTTTTGAGGATCAAAGTTTTGGATTTGTGCAACTCCAGGGGCAGTTAGGCACTTAAGTTCCTTTGTGAATCCCACCCAGTGCCTCTTTATGGAGTTCCCTAGGCTTGTATAGATCCCCAAGGTTTGAGGGCATGACCTGTATCCTTTTCTACAAGCCCCATCCTTCTGCCAGGACAATGTGCGTGGGAGGAATCTTCACAGAGATTTCATCCCCAATGTCACTTCCTGAAGGGATTTGGTCCATTAAATGCACAAGAGTTAAACAAATTTTTATCATCTTTTTAGTGGGACAAGTGAGCTTTGAATAGCTTTTTGGAAATATTTATAAGAAAGCCCACAATATTGGCTCTGCTAAAGAGTTCACTCTACAGTTCTGAAATGCTTGCTTTGCTAGTGAATCCAAGCTGCGCTTAGTGTATTTTCAAACTGGATTTTACATCTCACCA